TAGTGCGTTTATGTACATAACGGTCGTCTTAGCCGGGATCATGATGGTCGTTGCCGGAAGAGGTACCTTTGCACTCAATATGCGTGTAGGTAAGCGCGTGTTCGCCGCTCGACTTGAGAAGACGTTACAGGTTCCAGAGCTCACACGGAACTTGTTCTCGGCGTCATTAGCAATGGCAAAGGGAATGTCGATCGAAATGGCCGGTTCCGGCTGTACTTTCAAGCAAAGAGGTACGGTAGTGGCTATGGGTACCAAACGTGGCAGGCTGATCACACTTGATATAGAAGATGCACCAGAGTGTCATTTGGCCGTTAGCGGTGAGCTTTGGCATCGCCGGCTCGGTCATGCGTCGCGCCACGCTGTCAACGAACTCATTCGCTCGGGAGCACTGGGATCCAAGACAAAAGTGTGCGATACGGCGGAAACCTGCAGGGTCTGCGCATTGGCAAAGCAGACGCGCGCCCCATTCCCACAACACACGGGAAAAAAGTATTAAAGGAGCAATACGAGCGGCGCGTTGGAGTCGAATGCTCGGACGTCGCCGGGCCGATCACCCCATCGTATGTGTCAAGCTCTCGCTACTTCGTCACGTTCAGTGTGATGTCGGCGCGTTTCTCGATGGTTTATCCGATGCGTGCCAAGTCCGATGTCCTACAGCACTTCATCAGCTTTCGGACCTACATCGAGGCATCGTCAGACTCATGTGTTAAAATTTTACGAAGTGAAAACGGCGGCGAGTATACCAGCAAGAATTTGCAAACATACTGTGAGAAAACTGGAGTAGTACAGCAGCTCACGGTCCCGTACAACCCGGAGCAAAATGTAATGTATAGACAAGACTTGGGTCATATGCCTTGAAATTATCTCAATTTTTAACTGCTTCTAAATATGAGGATTGTGCTGATCGAAATTACAGCTTTCGCAGTTAAGAAGAATTTTAGTCCTCCGTTCTTACAATTTTTCTGGTATCAGCCCCAACTCGCTAGGAATTTCTCACAATCAGCGATCGTTTCCGAAATTGGTTTCGCTTTGACAAGCACCATTTAAGGCGGCAGCTCAATGTAAAGCCTTCGGCAAACATCAATGAACTTGCAGAATTAGTCTTTTAATGCTTGTTGCTGTGGATTTCCAATCCGGGAAATCTATTTTCGCATTTGTGATTTCCGTGTTAATTGCTCGAGATTTAATCTCACCTGCTGCAGCCAAAATATTACGGATGTCAGCAATGATACTGCGTCTGGCTCCCATTCTCGCGTGCAACCTCCTAGCTGGGAGGCGTCAGGCATGACTCGCTGTAGCTTCTTTTGGATCACGGCCAAAATTATTTATGACCTCCTTCGCCCGAAGAAATACATTTTTCCATTTTTTATAGCCTTCAAAGATATTGACGCTCAAAGTCAGCGGGCTCATGGCGGGTGTCAACTGCTTTCTACTGGATTCCAGTGGGATCGCTTCTTGAGGTGTCTCATCAGCTCATTCTCATGACTGATGAACGTCTTCAGGCGAGCGATTACTCAATCTGGCTTTTTGGCCGCCGATTCTCTGATCGTCCCTCAGACTTGGAAGCCGAAATATAACAAGGTAGGGACCGTATTACGGTACACGTACACATTTAAATTTGTTCCTTGCGCCTTGCGAAACGAAAGTTTTGACTTAAGAAACCTGCTACAACAATGCTCAGAGAATGGGTTGTATGCTCCACCCAAGAGCAGAACTGAGAGCCGCTCAGGTAACTCAATACTTACTTTTGCCCAAGTAATCGGGTAAAGATTGCAATCTCATGTACTTATTCCTTACGTTTTTGAAAAAATCGCATTTAATGAACACTGTATAACTATACGAATTCACATTGCAATTTTGTACAATCAGTGTTCATAGTTAGTAAAGTTTCGGTAAGTATGAAGTTGATGGGGCTACATCTAGAAGAGTATCGGCTACCTCTAAGAGTACTTAAAACGTTAACCAGGGTGAAGACGCTCTTCCGTTCAAAATTGAAACTTTATTTAACTAACTATTTTGCGGCAGAGTCCGTGGTACACGTAAAGTGCTAGCTGACAACAAGATTATTTATCATGAGATATAATAAACCATGTATATCAAGTATCCTAAATAAATGTTCTCTTGGAAAAACAGAGCAAATAGATAACATGTAGCTTTTGATTAGCTCACAATCTCGTGGCGTTCGAACACAACCTCTGTATAATTGTCAGCGTGGACTCTTTGAGTCAATACTTCCTCGGTGCAAAATGTACACAGATCCTGTGACGGGGCACACGGCACCTTGCACAGAGGAAGCTTGACTTCCAAGAGTATAC